GCAACATATCTGATGATGAATTTTCAATTCGAAACCGGTCGTTTAATACACTTACCATAATACTCCGGGCGACGTATTGATTTATGTTTTTATTTTATTTTTAAACATACGTTTTTTTTAATTTACTATATGTATTTACTTTATTTAAACGGTTTACCGTTGCTTACAGCTGGTATACATTAAAATTATTCCCCCGTCCCCGTTATCCTATTAGGACAGCTTTTTATTGTCGAGCAAGGTGTGTACAACATGCAGGATATTTATTTCTGGGGCGTGCCGTTCAGTTTTAAACCCTATTGGCGTAACGTTTTCACGCGCCGTCCTTTAGCGGGGAAATAAAAACGTTTTGCAAGTCTGATCTCCGACGACGGCCGGTTTCCCGAAAGCACGGTCGAGTCCGGTCGGTTCTCGGGGACTTCTTCGAAATGTTTACCATTTTAACCGCCACCGTGCGGGACGATATAAAAACGTGCAGACGAGTCTAAAAAAAAAAAAAAAAATTATTATTATTATTATATTTGCGGGACGCGTTCAACATAATATCGAAACGGTCTGTGCAGCAGTCGCACGTCTGCTTGTCGTATAGCATACGCGTTTTTTTTTTTTTTTTCAGTACAAAGTAGGTACCTATCCGTTATACGCGCTTTCCAATCAGTCTCCCGCTGTTTTATACGTATACATATATATATATATGATTTTTTTTTTTTTTTATTAATATTTTCTATCATCGCGCGATGGCTCGATTCCAGAATGGCTTTCTCGTATCAGGTGGATGTATAGACTTGAGCCACCGCAGCCTGCAGTGGTCGCTCCTTCGCGCGGCGCGTAATCGCTTATTACACGGACACGCGCGTTAAAATTCCCGGTCCGTTTTTTTTTTTTTTCTTCTGTTATGCGTTCACTCGGTTTTTTTTTCCAATCCGCACACTCGCGCACGGGTTTATTGCAAAACAATTTCGTAAAAATTAAGAAAGGAGAAAAAAAAAAAAAAACATTTTTTATTCGCTCGCAACCCGCATACGCACGCGTCTACAAATGTATACGTACGCGTGTGTACTCGTACGCATATCGCATTTTCCATTCGGCCGCAAACAAACATTTTAATTATTGGAAAAACCGTTTGACAATCGAAATATACCGACGCGGTATTGCACTATACAATATCCCGTACGTATCCATCCATCCATACATATCCCGCGACGGCGAGACGTCGTCCGAATGCACCGGTCGGAATCGATTATTGTCCTATCGATCCTTGTTCGTATACCGCGTGTACCTGCGAAAACAATAATAATAATATAAAAAAAAAAATAATACACGAGGTACTTAAAATGAACGTTTTGCCGGACCGGACCGGTTGTGACGTTTAAACACTTCATTGTACCCAAGTATAATAACACAAGACGCGCGCGACATTATAAACGTCGCGCGCAGTGCCCAGTGGTCGCCGTCGTTCCGGAGACCGTTTCGACGCGTGATATTATTACAAAGTTTTTTGTTTTTCCAATAATAATTATTTCGTTTTTTTATCGCTCGCCGTTGTTCGCGTTGTCCGCCACACATCGTTACGGTAGGTACACTCGTATTATGAAAAATAATCATCGTCAATGTTTTTTTTTTTTTTTTTTTATTAGCATATTTTAAAGCGCTCCTTTTGGAATTTTAAGCCAGTCTCGTGCCGCGTTCGTCCGACGGCGTTTTAAACGGAGTTTTTCTTCGACGTTACGTTACAGATAATCGCATCGCGGCCTTAATAAAAACGTATACTACGTATCTGCAGAGTGCGAGGAGACGGTCGTGGCGTCGTCGTATTTCCGCGTGTCGCGCTTATCGCTTTGGATATCTCACGCAGCGTGCGATGTGTCAACAATAATATTTATATAACGTACATTATATTGTACGTGGACTGTAAAGTGCGTGTACCGGGAGTATTTTTTTGTTAACACACGTGGTTTTTATAACGCTTACCTATACTATTAAGAGGACCCGTAACGTAAACTGTATTCAGTAACACAGTTAACGATGGCGAAATGAAAAAAAAAAAAAAAAAAATTATATACATACATTATATTAACAATAATAAATAATAAAAGGGTTTGTGTATAACTGGTTCGTATGCGGGCGGCGTCGCGGCGGATATTTAGTGAGTGTCCCGAAACCATTATCGTTATTATTATTGTTATTTATTATTATCATTTTTTTTGTTTTTTTTTTTTTTTTACTTTTTACTTATTAATGTTTATTTTGTTGTCCGCCCGCGAGGTGGTCGTCCGACGGCGATGACCGGAGGGGGGCAAGGGACGGGTATGAAGACGGAGGAACGACGAGGGAACAAATGAAAGAAACAAATCAAAAAGATAAAATGGAAGGGAAAAAAAAGCCAGCCAGCGACACAACAAACAGCATAAATATATATACATAAGACTGCGACTCGTATATTATATCTCTCGGTTAAAAAAAAAAAAAAAAGTAAAAAAAAAGTAATGGACTGTCATAGGTTAACAGTTGTTGTACATTATATCATACCTTATGGGGATACTGGTATATACCGCAGCTCGGTACAGCGGTATATAAGTGTATGTGTGTGTGGTTGTGTGTGTGTGTGTGTGTGTGTGTGTGTGTGTGTGTGTGTGAGTTCTTCGTGCCGGTGCTGCAAGAGCGCGCGCGAATGGCTGACCGGCGCGGCGGTGCTGCGGCGGAGACGACGTGGAACGGGGGAGGCGGGAGGCAAGAAGTGAAGAATAAATACCACTCATCCATCCTCCTCTTGTGTTGGAACAAGATTACGGTAGCTGCCAGACGATATCGAACGCAATTACTTATACTTCCATATATACAAGCATCGATCGCTCGCGCCGCCGCCGCCATCGCCACTGCTGCACCGGCCGCGTTACGTTACATTATTTTTATTCGGAGAGACTTTAACGGCGGTGGCCGACGTTCGCGACGGCGCATAATAATCGTATATGTATTACCGATATCAAAATATGCCCGCGACAATAACGACACGCGCGGGTCGGACGAGCGATTGTTCATGATAATTTTCCGTCACACGCTACGCGGCCCGGAACCGCGCGCGCGACGAAAACAAATCGTACGTCCGAAGAGAAAAGAACGGGCGTGTACAATAATATATAACAACGGTTGGGCAGCGTTGCGTTTAGAAAAAAAAAAAAAAAAACCGGCCGACCGTCCGCGGTATACGCCGCCGATACCTCCGGGAGGTTTTTTTTTTTCCCCCGGCCAACCGTGCACGCGCGCTGAAGGGTCGCCGTCCGATCGTTATGTTTTTAATACCGATAAACGTACTCTATGTAGGCCAAACGGTTGAGCGAGAGTTTCCGTCTCTGCTCCTCGCCGCTCCGGCCGCCCCGAGGATGCGAGTACCCCCCCCCCCCCCCCCCGCCCCGGTACGGTGCGGAGTCCGCGCGGCGCGCGACCGCAACAAGTGTGTATTTATCGCGACGATAACACGACGAACGCGTAATAATATTATTACGATTTATGATTGGTCGGCGATTATTTTTTTCTTTTTTTTTTTTTTTCTTTTCGGCGACCGGAAAATCTCCGCGGCACATATTTTATTCGAACGGACGCCGTGCTGCGTGTAAATCGAACGGTCTGCGCCGTGACGCGCGGTTATCGTTCGCATAAATCATCGGCGGGACCTTCACGAAAGTAAATATTGTGAGCCCGAGGGAAACGGCCGAGATACGTACCTACGCCTAGAACCGAACAACCGCCGCGATTATACGTAGGAATAATAACGCGTATTCCGTTGGCGCTGTTGCAGTGGTCTCTCTTATCACGCGGCGTATAAAATCGGCGCGTTTAACTGCATTAAAACGTCGGTCGTAAATTTGATTAATATCTCGTCCGGCGCGTCGCTTGGTCACACACACAATATAATATCCGCGCCTTCTCCTCCGAGCGGGTACGTTATAGGTGTAGATACTGTTGCGCAGACGTGCCGTAAAAAAACTATAAGTATTAATCAGCGTCTATATATATATATAGTTAGTATATACTGTACTCGTTTTCACACTCATTTGCGTGAATACCACCCGTCCTCTTTATCTTTTTTCTATTTTTTTCTTTTAGACTGTACGGAAACAGCGCGGACGGCGGCGGCGGCGGCGGCGGCGTGGCGTTTCGTTTAACGAGGCGATTTTTTTTTTTTTTCGCTCCGTACGTACATATTTACGCGGCAATCATTTATAATCGATAGTAATTATTATTATCGTAGAAAACGAGTTCGGCTTCTGCACCGCGTAATAACGTGCATAATACACGCCTATAGTATACGACGCACAAGTGACCGAAATTGGCGGAATTCTATGCGTAAATTATGTTGTATTATATTAAGCTGCAACGGTCGTTAAAATACCGTTTGATACCATACGACGTGTATAATAATATTACGTGGAGCATTGATGTTTTTTTTTTCCCCCGCGGCGAAAATCTACAAGGCGCAGGGAGTATGTCCTTGTGTACACAGCATTGGCCTTTGTCCGGGACAGAAGTGCATGTTAGCGGTTCCGTCGCTTATCTAACGTTCGCAGTGGGCCGTCCGGCAAAGTCTTTCCAATACTAATAGATTACACTAATTCTGTCTGCGTACCCGAAGTGAACGCGCGGTAAAGTCTGTCGGACACCCGCGGTAGCAGAAGTCCTAGAAATGTAGTCGGGCGAAATGCGTGTCGAAACCCCCAAATAACCAAACACAGCCCATTTTATGTCCGAAATTCTAGGTTTTTTATTTCTGCAACGAAGTGCATTCGTTCGGTTAGGCGACCAGAGTTTTCCCCGAAATGAATCGGCCCCGTCGTGCTTAATTTTCAAAAAAAAGAGTCCGGCTGAGGCTCGAACTCGGTATGGAGTTTGGCGCCGTTGCGCGGGAGAGAGAGATTCCGTTCGCTGCGCGTATATGTCCGGCAACAAAAGTTAAAAAAAAAAAAACGTACGATTGAATTATACGCATTACAGTAGATTTTCGGTACCTTAATATTTATTTTTTGTCTATAGAAAATATACTTTCGTTATGGTCGGGGGAAATCCCAAAAGCGGTAAGTGGACGGTTTTGTCTATCGAGCTTTATTTTGTGATGATAGCGGTGACGGACTGGAAATTCACCGAAAAAAAAATCCCGCCCCGCGTTAAGGTCACACAGATGCAGAGTGTCAATGCCGTTTGCGGATACGCGGTGTGATACAGTTGTATACGTGATTTTTTTTTTTTTTTTTTTTTTTTATCACCGCGTATACATCCGAGTTTAACGAACCCGCGGCCCGTCATCGTAATAATATAATTGCGCACGCGGATACGAGCGGAGTGTCGAGACCATTTGGCCGCGGCGCACCGTAATAATGTATAAAGACTGGATAATTATGGAATTTATGAAAACGAGCATCTCGACGAGTTAAAGACGAAATTGCGTAACGGCGCGTATTTGTACATGTATATTGTGTGTGTGTGTGTGTATATATATAGAAAGAGAAACAGGTTATATTAAAAAACGATGCGACGGTATGGTGCGTTTCGTTGTATGCGTATCCCCTATAATATACGTTTAAATATACAGAGTGATTTTTTTTTTTTTTTTTTATCATGAACCGGCAATCATCCCGGAGGATTTTAAGTGAATTTGATTTCTGTTTTTTTTTTTTTTTTTTTTTTTAGATTCCGAGCGTAGCGAGGCAGCTATCTTGTTTCTTTTTTTTTTCTTCTAGTCCGTGGACACGTTTTTTTCCTAGTAAACTTGCTCCGATTTTCACGTGTACCAACTTTTCTGAAATTTTTATTTTTTCGATTTTCGACGCCGTTTTTTAAATAAAAGTACTTAGGCGGGAAAAAACGCAGGAAAACGTACAGTTTCACGATTTCATTATTTTATAAAAACACGGACGACGTTTTCTACCAGAAAAAATGATTTAATCGAAAAATTACAAGATACCGTTTTTGTTGCCTTTTTGATTTATATTTATATGGTATCATTGACAAAACTTTTGAGCCATTTTTGAGCTTTTTAGGAATTTTAATTTTTGGGAGTTTTTTTTTTTGCTTAATGTTTATGTAAGATAATATTTTTTTCTAGAAATAATTATTTATTTTTCTAGAAATGTTGATATGCATAACACTAATACCAGATTTACCGTTTATGAGTTAAAACAGATCAAAGTTTGTGTTTTAAAATAAATAGCTTAAACGGTTCCGTAATGTGATTAGAAGAACAGAATAAAAATTAACTTGAAAAAACTCCGGGACCAGCAATTGCTGGTTCGTGATAAAAAAAAAAAAAAAAAAAATCACCCTGTATAATACTCGCGCGTTCGCGTGTGTATTTTTTCGGGTTTATAACAAACCGAGAAACCAGTACGATTGAAATAAGTGTCGTCTTTAACGATACGACCGCTATCGATTAACCGGGATGATTGGTGAGGCGGTCCTATGTTATAGTCGTACACGCGTACCTCTTATACGTATATACATAATATAAATACCGTGTGTGCAAGTCGACAAACCCGTGTGTTGTTGGCGTGTCCCCCGGTCTCTGTCGTATATGGTCGAAACGTACAGGCGACCGCGGGCAGAGAGCGTGGAAAGCAGTGCGGAGGGGGCGCAGAGAAGAGGGACACGTCCAGGTCAAGAATTTTAACGATATCTTTTTTTTTTCTTTTTTTTTTTTTTGTAATACGACCGGCGATACTCGTCGTCGTTGAAAATCCGGCTCGTTTATTTTTCGTCTCGGAAACACACGACCAATAAACATAACTCCATCATCGACAGCTGCGGCTATACGAACGACCGACGACGTAATAGGTACCCGTAATAGACGTTATACACGCGGCGTATGTATACACGATCCCGGGACCCGGTCCGAAACGCCGCCTGTATTAATGTCGGCACCGGGGAAAATCGGCGGGGCCGTCGACTGGACGGTGTGGACGTTACACGGACAACTGCACGAAAACGTTTTTTTATGACAAAAGGCCGATGTCGCTGACGGGTGTTGCCGCACCGTTTTAGAAGGGCGCGGGCGGACGCGGGTACGTGCGGAGCGAACGAAATCCGTGTCTGCGCGTAAGCCGTCGCTGACGAATGACGATTCTGAGCACAGTGTCGTTAGTAGTGGCGTCAGTTGCTAACGGGTTGCCGACCGGGCGTTCCCGAAAAACGATCGCGATCGGTTACCAACTTTACGCGTTCATTAAGAAAACCGCGAGAAAAATCAATAAAAAAAAATTGTCCCATCTAATACACCGTCGAAAACGCTCTCGAAAAAAATTCTTAAAATGTTTTTTTTTTTTTTGGTGTTTTTCGGACCGTAATTTCATAAAGTCTGCGAATGAAAAAAATAATGATAATAAAACCGATTTATACGTTCCTCGCTTCATTCCGAATCTAATATTACGATTGTTGGCCGCGTTTTCGAGGTTAACGCGGTGCACGCGTCGTCGTCATCGCGTGCGTATATTATCATCATTGTTGTGAGCTATCGTTTGTAACAATGTCCAATGCACCGGGTGTACCGGAGGCGCGGTCACTCGGCACCACGACGCCCTGCGGAAACGATACGCGATCGTCGCGATGATAAATCGAACAAAACCGCCGTTGTTAGGGCAGGTATTTACGCGCGTTTGCGTACGTCTGTCGGCCGGGCGAAAAAATATACGGTCACTGCCGGCGAATCGCGTTTTACGACCAGCTTTGAGCGCCTTCAGGGCAGCGGTGACCGACTCCGGCCCGTCAAAGTATTAAATCGAAATCGAAAAACGCAATAACTTCAAATTTCATAAAAAATAACATTCAAAGTAAGGTACATTTTTTTTTTTCACTCGTATACTGTACGTTTTTCTCTCGATTAATAACGGTCGATATACCCGATACGTGATGAACAATCGAGTACATTCGCTATTGGCTTGTAATTATAAAACCTTAAATTCTCGGCCGTTGATTGCAGCCGCGAATTATTATTATTTCGTGTACGGCCCCGTGCGGGGAAAAAATGTCGGCGGCCGCCGGTAGTCCAGGGGCGTGTTTCGGCGTTTTTCTTGCAAACCGCGTGCCCTGTATAGCCCGTACTCGCGTATACGAATCGCGTTCCCGCCGTATACAGAATAATACCGGCGTTGTCGGTGCGCGCGTGTCCGACTCGCGAAACCGCTGTCACGACGCGTACGCCTAGGTTGTGTGCGCAGCCGAGCAATTAGGATCGAAAGTCAAACGGTCTCGCCGCGGAATCATCGTCTCCGCGCCGACACTCGCCTCCGGCGCGTCCGATATTATTGCACCGGCCGCGTGCCTCTTTTTTTTTTTATTATTATTTTCTCGTATGCGTTTGCCCGTGTCGCGAGTACGCGCGCCAAACTGAATGTGCGGGAACGACGGACTCGTATGCCTGTGCGCGAGTAATAAGAATGCGGTCCGGCGAGACCGGCGGAACCGGGACACTTATTAGAGACACGCGCCGCGCGACGTTTATTATCGTCGCGCCGCGAGAGAGTATCGTTGTTGTTATTACTCGTATTTATCATTTTAGTAAATGCCGCGGCGGTGTTACAGCGCGTTCAGAACCACGAGAGCGTATCGGTTTTTTTTTTGTTTTTTTTTTTTTACGAAAAAGTTTTACGCGCCGCCGTCCCGACGGGATCTAGACGATCGGGACCGAACAGCCGTCCTAGAATAATGGGGACGGCTGCGGCCACTGTGTTGTGTGTGGGAAATCGGGACGGCAGGATACAGAAGAGAATTTAAAATTTATACCTACAGTAAGCGACGATAATAACCATTGCTAGCGGAAAATACGATTCTGAGTGGAGTCCATTTGGATAGTGACACTTTGTCAACAATATATATACATACTGGGGTAAAATAATTAAATAGACATTATACGTTTTCTTTAACAAAATACCTATTTGTTCGATATGATTGTACCGATTTTCCAGTTTTTCCTGGTTTTCTCATGTTTTTTTTCTCGGGTTTTCACATTTGTTGGTGAAACTCTTGAAAAAATGGAATAATTACCTCCTTAAAGTAGCTACTCACAACGATTTCCTTTCGGGGAAGGTGCTACATTTAAAAACCGGAACAAGATTTCTGGTAGAAAAGTTGTCTACGGAAAAAAAATAACAAACATCTTTGTAAAACCGTATAAGCTTCTTCGCTCCACTCAAAATCTAGAATGGCCTGTCCGATAAGTTTACATCGACTCACGAGGCCGTCTTTATAAGTTATCTATTTGTCGTACATGATTGGCACCGTATATGACGTACCGTGGAAGTTCTTTCGCGTGAAACAAACAAAACACCTCTTTAAATCGATATTATATAGCGACTCGCGTCTATTTGATAAAAATTATACACGACGTTATTTTGAAAACCTTCGTCGTCATCGTCGTCGAGATGAATTTTTCGTAAGAAACAAATCCTAAAACGCCGACAAGGTTATCTTAGAAATGCGGTCATCGACATAATTCAAAACACAATAGTCTTATGTGTCGCTGAAATCGATTTTGCAAAAGCCTTTTCGTTTGTTTTACGCCATCGCATATTCGCTACGAATTGCCCGTTACAGAAAAACAAAGACAATGACAAACACTACTCGCAACGGTCTCGTAAGGAATAAGCACACTGCGGGTTTAAATATGTGTAATTACTATGGGTTACCTGCTAGCTCCCGTTACGCATTCACCGAGTTCGGTTTTCATTTAGGTTTCAGTCTACATCAGTTCAGCCCGTCGTATACCTCGCCGCTAAAATCGACCGAAGACGGACGCTGAAGTACACACGCGTTTATACGAACTGAACGGAGAAGACCGTGCCGAACTGATCTGAACTGCTGGATCCGAGCAGTGCGCTCGCTCGATTCATACGGAAATCTCTCGACAGTTTAATATAACATTGTTTCCAAACACGTCAGTCATATGCGTCAAACATAATAATAACTTACTATACGTACCGCATAAAGAGCAAACACTGGGGGGGGAAAAAAAAAAAAATCACCGCTATAAACGGAATTTCGTTCCTGCCCAGTTATCGTCTGCGCGGCACGAACTATCCCGCCCCCATAAATTCTTACATAATAACATAATAGCAGTCATTTCTCGAACGTCTCGTATAATACTCGTTACACCGTGGTTTCTTGTCCGAGCCTTTGGGCCGAAAAACCAAAACTACCCTCACCCGCTGAGTGTATATTTATTAGTATTATAACGGGTCGTACACTGTGTTTACAGTTTTTTAGGTTCTAAACGAAACTATTGGTTTTACTGTGATGTGTGTTGTTTTATTTATTTTTTATTTTTCTTTGAGTGTACGTAAATAACTTTTCTACCAGAAATATCCTACACATTTTTTTAGCATTGTGTTGATCATTTTGTTGATTTTCCCTGCAATTATAAACGGCAAAACTGGCAATTTTTTTTCATAATTTTTTGTCGATTTCCGGTTAACTCTGGCAACAAAGGAAAACATATGGCTAATATCTTTCTGCTCAGAATCGTTTTTTTCACTAGCAACGGTTTGGCTTTGCGCGTGGATCTAAATCAGGGAAGAAGTTTCTAAATGGATTAACTACCTAAAACGTATCTCAGTATGTGTAATCTCCAAACCGTATATAACGTTGTTTTAAACAACAATAATAACAATAAT